ACAATATTGCGCTGCTGTGGACATTCCTGCGCTGTTGATCACCCTGGCGTTGCGCTGGGGCGAGCGTTGGCGCAGGCAAGTTCACCCGCGGCTGGCTTCCAGACTGCGGCGATTTCTGACTGGGTGACGTACCGCTCGACCTTTGCTGCTTGTGCAGCACCGGGGTAGCGCTAGGGCAGCACCGGGGTAGCGCTAGGGCAGTACCGGGGTAGCGCTAGGGCAGTACCGGGCCAGCGCTAGGGCAGTACCGGGCCAGCGCTAGGGCAGCATCGGGGTGGCGCTAGGGCAGTACCGAGGTAGCGCTATATATGGCAGCGCCGGGGCAGCTCTAAGGTGGCGCCGGGGCAGCTCTTGGCCGTATGATCTTATGACGAATTTAGGACTACTTAGTCCCCGGTCAAGCTGATGCGCCGCTTTCGTCGTCCTCCGTCTCCAAATCGTCGATAGGTAGGTTTCCTCGCCCTCGGGTCCCGGAGGGAACGATGAACGTGTTCACTGTTCCGTCTATCTGCCCTCCTTTGGGCCAGCTGATGCAAGATGCTGTTGCTTGTCACTTGCTGAGGGTAGTTTCCCATTACTGGACCATCCGGAATCTTTCTCAGCCACTTGTCCAGTCGTCTCGTGAATATTGCAAGGGTGAACTCCCCTCCTCTCAGCACCTTAGGCAAGGCATTAAGCAGCCTCGGTCCTTCCGCGGACAGTGATTCCTCACGAAGAGTCTATACTCTGGCCGCGGCTCTGTTATCAATAGGAGGAATCCAGCACAGTCCACAGGAATCCTGCATTAAATGTAAGAATCATCATTTCGTTGCAATATGTCACTATTTTGGAGGTCTCGCTCTCAAAGTTGGAAGCCAGTCTGGTTATCATCTTCCAAGTGTACAGTATGATGTACCTCTCTCTTCTCCTCTTTAGTGAGTAAAGTCCCAGGTGAGTCAATCTGCCCCAGCTCATTCGGCTGATCCTGCACGGACGTGAAGGTCCGCTGAACTGACTTTAGTTTCCGCACCGCGCCCGCTTTGAGCGGCGCCCAAAGTTGGAAGCAGTACTCAAGATTGGGGAAAACATGGGCTGTGAAGATCGTAATCGTTGCCGCTGCTTTTCTCGTTCTGAATGTTCGCCAGATCCATCCCATCAGTTGCCTGCCACATCCCATCAGTTGTCTGCCACATCTCGAACATGTTAATTCTCTTAAATTTCTGTGCCGTCTGATGCGATGTAGCGATGCAGCATCCCGTCCTCTGGTGCCGTTGAATTGCATATTATTCACTATAGGGCCAAATCGTAGATTGTTGACAAGTCATCTTGTAATGAGTGTGGCCTCTCGTCTTGCAGTCTAGGTCGTCTGTGATCCTTATATCGTTCGCAAATGACGATGTAGATGCGTTGGTAAGCTACGAGTCGATGCCAGCAACGCGGATGAGGAGGAAGAGGACCGGTCCAAGCACCGAGCCTTGTGGCACTCCGCTTTTCGTGTTCCATCACTTCTCTCGATTTCGAGTTTCCAATTGCGACAGCTAGCGCTCTATCTGTAAGGAACTTGTGGATCCACCCTAAAAGGCTTCCTCCTACTCCCAACAGTATCAGCTTTCTGAATATAACCTCATGTCAACTTTGTCAAAGGCTTTAGCAAAGTACGTTTTCTCATGAGGATTCGTCGGTCTCTCGGAATGCTGCAAACTTCAGGGTCAGGGTACACACTGTCAATAACTAGTGCCTGTGCTATTTTATTTGAAAGTTTTGTGTAAATTACATCTGAATTCTTCTCCCGAATCTCCGAACTCTAATCAATATCTGCGAGATCGTTACTAATTACCTCCCAGTCTGTTCTTCGCTGGTGGAAGTCAAGTCCTGCCAGTCCTTCTTAGGGTATTTGCATGGGGCTGATTTTCAATTCCAATTGTATCCAAAATCACAAGACAGAGGTCGGACAATGAAGTCTCTTCAACTCGAACGTCGACTATCATTATTTCATTGTTACTAAAGAAGGATACTTTGCTCCCTTGTTGGCAGCCGTACGTGCTAAGTTAGTGTTCCACAGCAAACTGCACTAGCATTAGTTTTGCTTTCTGACTTCTATCGATCGTGGCCGTCATTGTCCCAGACGATACGGGTACATGGTAGGTTGAAGTCTCTCCCATTATCAGGTTGGGGAATTATCTCCCAACCACTTTGGTCTCTATTTCTTTGAGGGTTTCGCTAAAATTCATCGATGGACGAGCAGGTGGTCTATACACTTAAGTTACGCAGAGATCGAGTTGTTTATTGTGGAGTAGCACGTGTTCAACAAAGCCATCAAAGTTTTCAAATTTCGATATCCAATCGACCGTGCTTCTTGCGAGAGATTTTTTAAGGAAAACAATTACTCTCAACTGCCTTCCGGTCCGCGCGGTAGTGTTGGAATCCTTTTATTGCAATTTCTGCATCAATTATATCTTTTCTTAGATGCGACTCCGTTAGTGCAATCAATAAAATCCCACCCTCGTCAGACATCTTTCTCAACAAGCCAATCTTATGACGCGCTCTTCGTGGGAAGAGCCCCTCGATGTTGGCCTGCAGAATGCCAGAGCGGTGTCGCTTACCTGCAGCGACACCACCCTGCTAGGAATCTCTAGGGTTGAACCGGGGCAGCGCCGAGGCAACGCTGAAGTAGCACGGTGGCACCGGTAGGGTAGCACCGTGATAGCGCAAGGGCAGCATCGGGGCATTGCCGGAGCAGCACTAGGGCAGTAACGTGGCAGCGCATGGACAGCATTGTTGAATTGCCAAGGCAGCGCTATTGCATTGATAGAGTAGCTCTAGGGCATCTATTGCAGCGATGGAGCTGTGCTAGGGCCGTACCAGGCCCGCGCTAGGGGAGTTTCTAACGAAATTCAGCTACGGCCTGACTCTCAAGTAGAAGTTGCGTGGAACTCGGGCAGTGCGTGAATCAGCCGCTCTATGTCCGCTAGCTTCTGCTATGTTAGGACAGCTTCTGGGCCGCCTGCAATCTCGATCGGTGCAGCACGGTTCGGTCACTCATATCATACTCTCAGACGACTGTAAAGTGAGAAAAGAAATTCTGACCAGAAGCTGATTTAGATCTGGTTGCCCAGCAGACCCAGATCGAATAACAGCGGCGAGTGTAGCGACTATTCGGCCGAAGCCTAGGCGGTCCCCAAATTTTGTTAAGGTTACCGTGGCAGCACCAGGGCTGCACATAGAAAACATGGCCGCGTTGAAAATACGGGCAAATTTTTATTCGAGACAGAGCAACTGAGATGCCACGAAACGTCCGAAAACATGACCAGACCTTCCATGATTAGGAACGAAGTCCCTACAACACAACAGGCATCCAGGGATGACGTCCCCACAACACACCAGGCATCCAGGAATGAAGTCCCCGCAACACACCAGGCATCCAGGAATGAAGTCCCTACAACACAACAGGCATCCAGCATCCTGCAGCAGGCAGCATCCAGCAGCGGTGCAGGAGCGGATGCTGCGGCTCTCGTCTCACGCCCTCGCTGGCCTGTCGCACGATTACCGCCCCCACCCCCCGCCTCTGCAGAGATGCTGCAGCGTCTCTGGAACGTTCCTACAACGTCTCCGCGTCCCTGCAACGTCTCTGGAACGTCCCTGCAGCGTCTCTGGAACGTCCCTGCAGCATCTCTGGAACGTCCCTGCAACGTCTCTGGAACGTCCCTGCAGCGTCTCTGGAACGTCCCTGCAACGTCTCTGCAGAGTCCCTGAAACGTCTTCGTTGCGTCTCTGCAGTATCTCTTTAGCGTAAATAGCCTTCTTATCCTGTCTCTGCAGCCACTATATAGCGTCTCTGTAGCGTGGCTCTGGTATGAATGCTGTTTCTCGCAATATTATTTTCCCGTTACGCAGTAACTTTCCCGTTACGCAGTAACTTTCCCGTTACGCAGTAACTTTCCCGTTACGCAGTAACTTTCCCGTTACGCAGTAACTTTTCCGTTACGCAGTAGTTTTTCCGTTACGCAGTAGTTTCTCCGTTACGCAGTAGTTTTTCCGTTACGCAGTAACTTTCCCGTTACGCAGTAGTTTTTCCGTTGCGCAATAGTTTTTCCGTTACGCAGTATGAGTCTGCGAATTATTACGAAAATATCCTTTATTCAACTCAGTTCCTACAAACGTATTTTCGATAGAAATTGATGAAAATTTTTTGAACAAAAATCTTTTAAATGAAATTGAAAACATATTCGAGAAATTAATACTGAAATATTTTAGAGCTTTTTGAGTCTCTAGAGAGCAGAATATTATACTGAGAACTTCGTTGCCATTAAAAATAATGGTTTAATGGATGCTTAAATAATTGGTATTACATAAGATTAACATTTGAAACATTTTCTGTTCGCTCTTTTGTTCGCTTGTATCATTACTCACATTTTCCCTTCAGTTTCCTTGTCAGTGAATGGATTTTTCCGTCAACAAATGAATTTTTCGTCAATGTATGGATTTTTCCGTCAATGAATGGATTTTTCCGTCAATGAATGGATTTTTCCATCAACGAATGAATTTTTCCGTCGACGAATGGATTTTTCGGTCAATGTATGGATTTTTCGCGCAATGAATGAATTTTTCCGTCATCCGTCAACGAATTAATTTTTCAGTCAACGAATGGATTTTTCCGTCATTGAATGGATTTTTCCGTCAACGAACAGATTTTCCGTCAATGAATGAATTTTTCCGTCAACGAACAGATTTTCCGTCAATGAATGAATTTTTCCGTCAACGAATGGATTTTTCCGTCAATGAATGCTTTTTTCTAATTAATGTTTTTTTTTAATTTTTCGTCAATGAAAGGATCTTTCCGCCAGTGAATGGATTTTTCCGTCAATGAATAGATTTTTCCGTCAATGAATGTATTTCTCCGTCAGTGTATGGATTTTTCCATCAGTGAATGTATTTTTTCGTCACTGAATAAATTTTCTGTCACTCAATACATTTTTTTCGTCACGGAATGCATTTTACGCCACTTATGAGATGTAAAACTACACAATAAGTTATTAGGCTACTCCCCCAACCTCACCGTAGAACCTACAGCATCCCCCCTCCCTTCCCCATCATCTTACCGTCATTTCTTCCCCACAATATCCTCCCCCACCCCACTGTACCACCCCCCTCCCTAAACCAAATTATTCCCCCCCCCCTTTCCCCCCCTCTTCAGTAGCGGGGCTGCGGGGAGGAAATCGCGGGTCAGCGCCCGGGGCAGCGGAGCCCCGCGGGGACGCTTCTTGTTGTTGTTGTTGCTGTTGTTTGTTGTTACTGTTGTTTGCTGTTGTTGTTGTTGTTTGTTGTTGTTGATTGTTGTTGTTGTTGCTGTTGTTTGAGCTGTTGTTGATGTTGTTGCTGTTGTTTGTTCTTGCTGTTGTTGTTGCTTTTGTTTGCTGTTGTTGTTGCTGCCGTTTGCTGTTGTTTGTTGTTGATGTCGCTGTTGTTGATGTTGTTGCTGTTATTTTTTGTTGCTGTTGTTTGCTGTTGCTGTTGTTCAATTGTTTTTGATGTTGTAGTTGTTGATGTTGTTGCTGTTTTTTGTTGTCGCTGTTTGTTGTTGCTGTTGTTGTTGCTGATGTTTGTTGATCTTATTGTTGCTGTTGCGCCTTCTATAGGTTGTTGCGGTTGGTGTTGCAGAACAAGAAAAACAACAGTAGCGCAGTGCTGATGAAGGCACTGTTGTTGCTGCTGGTTGTATGGCGTTATAAAAACGTTATTGTTTAACGTTACGATGACAACAACGCCTGCTTTGTTTTCCACAACAAGCAGCAGCAAACAACACCGATAACAAAACCATGGTTGAGTGTCACCAGGCGTCGTGGTTGTTGTCGGTTGTGGCTTCCGTTGAATTGACGTAACGGCGCCCCCCCCCATCTGCCTGCCCTTTGTTATCTTATTGTTGTCTTCTTATTATCTTGTTGCTATTGTTGTCTTCTTATTATCTTGTTATCTCATTGTTGTCGTGTCGTTATATTATTGATACCTTATTGTTATATCATTGTTGTATTGTTATCTCACTGTTGTCGTATTTTTATCTCATTGTTGTCGTATTGTAATCTCATTGTTGTATTGTTATCTCATTGTTGTCGTATTGTTATTGTATTAACAATATCGCATTGACACCCTATTGTATTGTTATCTTATTGATACATTATAAATGAGACGTCGTGTAAATTCACGATAACTTCGATGAAAACTTTTCAGCTTCATCAGTTCAAAATTTTACTAAATACATAACATAACAAATACATAATACAAACAAAAGTTAGCATTATCATTATTAACTTATTAGTAGTTCCGTGGTCAACTCTCGTATTCAGTACATACATGCGTTCGATTTACCCTTTCGCGGACAAGCACAGAAATGTGAAGACTTTCAAATTTCTGGGACCAGTAAAAGAAAACATTCAATTAAAACACATTTCCTTTTGCGTATTTAAAAAAATTACCTGTTGAAGGACAAAATCACATTTGAAGAACCTATTACATACGGTTACTTTGGTAAAAGAATACGTACCGTAATATGAATTAAAACATTCATATGAAATGCGTAATTATCAAGCCTTAATTTAATGCCATTCCATCAAGTTATTTTGACTGACTGCATTGATATCGCTACTTCCATCTTACGAAAAAGAGATATTGCTACTTCCATCTTACGAAAAAGAGAGATATCTCTACTTCCATCTTATGAAAAAGAGATATTGCTACTTCCATCTTACGAAAAAGAGAGATATCTCTACTTCCATCTTATGAAAAAGAGATATTGCTACTTCCATCTTACGAAAAAGAGAGATATCTCTACTTCCATCTTATGAAAAAGAGATATTGCTACTTCCATCTTACGAAAAAGAGAGATATCTCTACTTCCATCTTATGAAAAAGAGATATTGCTACTTCCATCTTACGAAAAAGAGAGATATCTCTACTTCCATCTTATGAAAAAGAGATATTGCTACTTCCATCTTACGAAAAAGAGAGATATCTCTACTTCCATCTTATGAAAAAGAGATATTGCTACTTCCATCTTACGAAAAAGAGAGATATCTCTACTTCCATCTTATGAAAAAGAGATATTGCTACTTCCATCTTACGAAAAAGAGAGATATCTCTACTTCCATCTTATGAAAAAGAGATATTGCTACTTCCATCTTACGAAAAAGAGAGATATCTCTACTTCCATCTTATGAAAAAGAGATATTGCTACTTCCATCTTACGAAAAAGAGAGATATCTCTACTTCCATCTTATGAAAAAGAGATATTGCTACTTCCATCTTACGAAAAAGAGAGATATCTCTACTTCCATCTTATGAAAAAGAGATATTGCTACTTCCATCTTACGAAAAAGAGAGATATCTCTACTTCCATCTTATGAAAAAGAGATATTGCTACTTCCATCTTACGAAAAAGAGAGATATCTCTACTTCCATCTTATGAAAAAGAGATATTGCTACTTCCATCTTACGAAAAAGAGAGATATCTCTACTTCCANTGATCGGTGATTGGCAGAGGCATGATAACGAAGCCTGAAACACAAACCTGAGGCCGTGGTGTTTTTTTTTGGGGGGGGGGTGAATTCAAGTTATATATGGTAACGTGCCCGCTAAGAGGTTAATTTGGTAGACTTTTTCAATTAATTATTGAATTTATCAAATGAATTAAGCGCATAAATTAGTTTACATTGTAAATTTATTCAATTTTATTGTATTTAATTGATTCATTTAACGCCAATTAATCGTTCTCTCCCCCAGGCTCGGGTGCCGTGGGGCTCGCCCACTTCGACAAATGCTCCCACGAGGAGTGCCTGGGGGGAGGCCACATCTGCTCCCACGACGACGGGGTGCTGCACCTGCTGGCGCGGGTGACCGACCTCTCGCTGGGGTACACCGAGGGGCGCCTCGAGCTCTGCCTCGTGGGGGGCTTCCAGGACCGACATAACGTGGGGGAGAAGGTCGCCCTCTCACTACTTAGTGAGTGGGGGAGTAGTGTGGCACTCTCACTAATTGAGTGGGGGATAGTGAGGGGGTGGAGTGGTGGAGAGGGACCGTGGCCCTCTCCCTCCCCAGTGAGAGGGGAATATCTAAGGTGTTTGTCCCCCCAGTTCAGCTGCGTTATCTTATCCCGCCTGGCCCGTGACGTCCGGAACTTGATGCTGGATGAAATAATTCTATTTGAGGCCTAGGCGGGAGCGCTGCCGACCAGTGATTGCGTCCTTCCCATGGCCGTTACTCAGTTCGAAATTCTCGCCATACGAATTTCGCCGGCGCCTTCGTTAGCAGTTTCAACAGGAACTTCAATGACGAATTCAAGTTTCATGCCCGCAGTTGCGGATGATTCGGTCAGGTGCGGCGGTGGCCTCGGATGTTTCTTCGTAGGCATGCACGAATGTTGCTGTAAATTGGACATACTGGCCCGTTTCCTGCCCTGGCGCGGCGCTGATGCGTCCGTTGCAGCAAACGTGTTCACTCGCTGCTGGCTCCCCGAAAAATGATTGGAAGAGGAAGACTGATCTCTAAAATTAATTCACACTCACTAGGACCTCTAGAGGAACAATGATTTAATCGTGGCTATCACAAAGATCTCTAAAAACCAATGACTTCATACTAGCACTGGCGCAAGTGTTCATAGGTGGTACGGTATTGCAATTCAACACTAAAAAGTGAATCAGGCGATTATGCTTACAAAATCGTATCGTTGGAATGCACTAGTACTCATACCATTATTTTCCTTGTTTAGCTAATTCAACAAGAATTTTATCTTCTATATAAATTTTCCTTTTGCCCCCCAGACGCGTTCCACAAGACAGCTCTGCAGATACACCTCGTGATCCTCTGCACGGGGGAGTACAACACCACCTTGCGGGGCACCACCCCCTGGCCCCTAGTTAAGGGGATAGGTGAGTGGGGGGAGGGAGAGTGGGGGGAGAACAACACCCTGAAGGGCGCTAGACCCCCTGGCCCCTGGTTAAGGGGATAGGTGAGTGGTGAGAAGGCGAATGTGTGAGTAACGCAAGAGTGAAAAAGAAATGGAGAAAGAAAGGGTGACTCATACTCATCACTAACGATCTGTTCACCATCGTTGTGCATTATTACTCAATAGACGTTTGGCGCGTGAACATGAAAACTATTTGTTCTAATATCTCAAATTTTCAAAGAACAGGTTTAAACTCGAACTGCATGCTCTTTAATATTAAGCTTGACGACATTCGGGATGTAATGCATGAGAATTAACGCCCTCTCCTCGCCTCCCCCAGCGGTGGGGACGCAGACCGGCAAGATCTTCCCCGCGACGTTCACCGACAAGGGCCCGCACCTCGAGATCCGCAGCTCCAGGATCTTCACGGGCGCGCAGCAGGTGATCCGCGGGGTCACGGGGTCTGCTGGGTCACGGGGTCTACTGGGTCACGGGGTCTACTGGGTCCCGGGGTCTTTAGGGTCCCAGGGTCTACCGGGCCCGTAGTTTGCCAGGTCACGGGGTCTGCTAAGTCCCGGGGTCTATGGGTCACGGGGCCTTCAGGGTCCCGGGGTCTACCGGGCCCGTAGTTTGCCAGGCCTCGGGGTCTGTCGGGTCACGGGGTCTATTGGGTCCCGGAGTCTACGGGGTCACGGGTTATGTAGGATCACTGGGTCTATAGAATCCTCTGGGGTTTGTAGAGTACAGAGGTCTATAGGGCCTCTTGGTCTGTATAGGATCGCGCGGTTTGTAAATCGATAGGGGTGTAAGGCCTGTAGAGGCCAAAAATTTTTATGTCTAAGTGTCTACCGTGAAAACCCCTGCCTCCCCCTAAACCCATGCCTCCCCCTAACCCCCTGCCTCCCCCAGATGGTGGACGTGTACGACTGCACGATGGGTGTGCTGCGCATCGGCCCCTACAACTACGCCCCCCACGTGGGGGTCGAGCTTCTCCTGCAGCAGACCGATGACGTCATCCTGAAGTGCCTGTCCCCCTCCCCCGAGGTCGAGGGGCCGGGGTGGGTCAAGCTGGTGAGTGGAGGGGCCGGGGTGGGTCAAGCTGGTGAGTGGAGGGGCCGGGGTGGGTCAAGCTGGTTAGGTTGTTAAGTATTGAAGAGGTTATGGTGGTCTTATGGTCATGGTGGTGGCAGATCATGTATCACATCATCAGCTTGCTAGGAATATCATGAAACGATTCGGCACGTCATCCCAACTCACCCCTCACCCACCCTTCCCCCGCAGGTGCGCGGGGTGCTGCAGCTGATCAAGGACCACCCGTTCCCCGCGGTGACGATGTTCCCCAACAACCGCCCCCACTACTTCCGGCGGGACCGCCACGGGGCCTGGGCCCCCGTCGAGATCTCGAACAACAACGACGCGACCCCCGACGCTAACATCAACGCCATCATGGCGGCGGTCCCGCCTCCCATATCCCCCCACACGCCGGGCCAGGGGGGCGGCGGGGACCCCTCCATCGCCGTGCCCTCAGTGCCGTCAATTCCGGCGTCCGCCGCTTGGACGCCGCCCATCAGCAGCACAACAGGGGCGCCGCCCCCTGCCGCCCAGGCGCCCACTCTCCAGACGCACCAAATGCTGCACGCGGCGCCTAACGTCAACGTCCAACAGCAGCAGCAACAACAACAACAACAACCACCACAACAACAACAGCAGCAATCTGTCCCTACTTTGTGGGGGACAAACAACCCCCCTCACGGCGTCCCCCCTCGCTACGGGTCCCTGCACCTCGACTGTAAACTCAAGACCCACCTGACGGGCCCCATCACGGGCCCGCTGCCCCCCGCGCAGCACTACGACGACCAGCTCCTCAACGTCAAGCCTGAGCGATACATGCCAGCCTGGCAGACGTCGCAGTTGTGACCGTAGACGTCGACAGGCGACGTACAGTCCCTCTAGGCGTCTGACGTCGGAATAACGTTGAGTGAACGACGTTGTTTCAACGTCGTTTGCCCGGGACGTTGGGCACTAGCAGACGTCGCACTTTTTGAACGCGAACGACAAACGTAGAAAAAGCTACTTTTTCTAAAATATCGTCGATCAGTAATTCGTTGCCTTCGTATCTTGCCTTTCCGTCAAATTCCTTTCGTAAGAAATTCGAAACTGGATTTGTGACTGCGACTTCTTGAAGAAACGTCGATCAAAACTGAAAATCCACTACAATAAATTTGTGTGAGATCGAGTGACCGTGACAGATCATCGGTCCTCGGCTAGTATCAATGAGAAATTGAAACTTGAATTAAAATTGGTACTCCATTCCACGGAAAATTAGATATCGTTATTTGTTACAGAAATGCGGTGACTTTGAACCGAAAAGACACTTTCTTGGCTGAGGGAGAAAAAAGCCTGTGAACTTTCGACGTTTTCCGAAAAGCCATTTGTGAACAGACTTCTTGTGACCTATCGAATATTACCTATCGAATTACATTGATGAACATTATCGTTTGAATGAGCTATCGTATAATAATCATTGAAAATAAAGTGCCTTTTGATTGTGACTTAATAAGAAACTCGTTGAACGAGTGTACCATTCAAAGGATCTAATGTAATGCTATTCTTACCAGGGATGTACATTATTCGAGCGTTGGCGGGTGACCACACTAGCGGGGTGTGTATTTCTCAGAGAAACGAATGGGTCTTTTTGTCCAATTAATGACACCCTTACTGTCCGTATCTGAAAGGCGCCTTTTTAGAGAGCCAAACTTGATCAGGATTGCCCACAGAAGGGCAGGAAATACATCGATATTTGAACACAAAGTCCCATTCATTCCTTTGAGTGTATAGTTTGGTTCAGAAGTGTTAGTTTTATTGTAGTTTTCTTAGTGTTGTAAGGCATGAGTCTCTTGGCCAGCCCTCTGCCGCCTCTAGCAATGCTATTCCTACCACACATCACCCCAGTAATGCTATTCCTACCACACATCACTCCAATAATGCAATTCCTACAGGTGCTTGTACACGAGGCGAATAGTTGCGTCGACTAGTCGACGCAACTAATTTATGATGATTGACGTCTTCAGAGGCAACTAGTTGTTGCATTGCACCCAGAGAAGCTTAAGTTCTGTCTACCCAGTCTCGTGTGCCCAGTACTCCAGTAGCGGCTCGGCCTTCGTACTGAGCACAGCTGCGTCGCTCCCTCTCTCTTGCCCAGTGTAGCGCGCACAGCTGTCGAGCTCTCGCTTGCCTCCACCGTGCACAACCTTACTCGACGGCTCCCAAAGTCACACTGGCGTCGTGTACTGACAACACTCTCCTCGTGTATAGGCTCACAGCCTGTAAAACTGTCGTCGACGCAACTGATCGCCCCGTGTACAAGCATCTTTCCACACATCAGCGGCGGAGGCTCTGTACAATGTCTGTAGTTATAGGCGCGATTTCTTATAATCTTTATAATCCTTTTAAAGTTTCCCTATAATTTAATGAAGAGATTTTAATTCAACACGTAGGTTGGTGTTGAATCTTTTTAGTGAAGTTTATATTTTCTTCAGGTTCAAGTTAAGAATTGTTTTATAGGTTCATGGAAGTTCTCAACTCGGAAAATGCACGCTAGTTTGTCCTGTAAAGAGTGGGCTGTAAATTGAAGAGAGGACTGGCAATTAAAGAGTGGGCTGGCAGTTAATGAGAGGACTGGAAATTGAAAAGTGGGCTGGCTACAGTTTTTCATGGTCGGTTAATATTAAATATCAGGTTGTTATTATAACTTCTATAAATGTGTAGAAATTATCTTTAATGTTACATTGAGAATAATATTTAATCATTTAGATTTTAGAACTCGATTTTTGTTTGCAGATCGTGTTGCATCATTCTGGATTGAATTTTGAGTTACACAGTGGGTTTAATGTTCGATACGGAATTATAAATAGTATGGACTAAATTCAACAGTGGGTTAAAGAGCTTGTCAGGTTGAAGTCAAGATTCGTAGACGAGTTTTTTGAGGGCAAATTGATCCTACAATCGTTGAACTCCTGATTTTTAGTGGCGCGTAATCTAGTTCAAATTTGTATGGTTAATATATCAACGAATATTTTTTCTTCATTAATAAAGAATGAGCATTCAATGTCATTTGTCTTCACTTCCGCTTTACGCGCATCTTCCCCTATAATTTTTCCAAGAGTTTATACACATGTTTTAAAAGTGATACTATCTACATATTGATGTGGCTTCCACTTTTGGGATATTCAAATTTCCAGAAAAAATGTTTGCCAGAGTAGACTTTGCTCGCGCAACATTTATACATTTTACTTTGCGGTTGCCTGCAAGAATATTTCAACAAGTGATCTAAAAATGCCGGTTGTGGACACGCAGTGTCTTTGCTCGAGGTTAATTTACTGCCAAAAATTGTTAATAAAATCTATAGTAAATGTCATAATACTGCCTTTAAAATGATCATTGCGTGTACATAATCGTTAGAAACGTGATCTTATTTGCGATGTTTATAGCGGTCCGTGATAGCCACATTAATGGTTACATAAATGTCAATTGATATATTAGAAATCAATCGATATTTGGTCAAGACAGAGACCATGTGATAAGAAACTCCATAGCAAAATTTTTTAAATTGATATTTGACGAGGACATCGAGTGACGCAGACCGTCGCAGACAAGGGCATTACGTAGGATTCCTACGTGCGATCCGAAGGTGAACCATATTTCAATTCCAAGCTTACATGAACACTACCAAAAAGAGCTAATAATAATTTTTTACACTGTACGAGGATTTGCAATATGAAGAGATATTTTATTATATGTTTAGTTTATAATATAAAACAAGAGATAGTTTATTATTCATATAGTTTGTGATATAATACAAGACATAGTTTAGTATTTGTATAGTTTATAATATAATACAAGAGATAGTTAATTATTCGTGTAGTTTTTAATATAAAACAAGAAATAGTTTAGTATTCGTATAGTTTGTAATATAATATAGCAAGTGTGGGCAGGCGCTAGTCTGTGGCGTCGAGGCTGCAGGCGTCCAGCAGCAGCTGCTCCACGCGCAGCTGCTGCAGACACGCGCTGACGCTGTGCAGCTGCTGCAGTGCTGCGGGCCTCAGCACCACAGCAATCACGCACACCTGCAATAACAACAGTAATACATGTAATAACAGCAGCAACTTAACACAGCAATGCCTGCAATAATAACAAGATCAACAACAAACTTTACTTAGCGTAGCAAGCGGAGGAATTAAGAAGCGTTCAGATTTTATGCTCTTATCACACTTCACGAACGCAGTGGATCTGAAAATAATGACGGTACAAAGGAATAAAAATTAGCTAAATATGAAAAGAAACGAACAATATATCAAATTTGATAACAATAGTAATGTCGCAATATAAACTAACTTCTTAAATTGATCACAAATTAAATTTCGTATACATGTACATGGCCCTACATTTTTGAATCCTTAATGGAAGATTTTTCCACCGTTGAATTTCCTTCCCTATTCGCTGTAAGCATGCAAGTTTTACTAACACATTGAGTGATATCTGCGAGAACAACTGTAGACGAAGTAAATGAACGTAAAAATACATATAACAAAGTCATGATAATGCTCAGGTAATAATTCAAATTGGTAAATCTGGAATACTGTAAATGACATCAAATAGAACTTAATACTAAAGAAAAGAACATAAATCCTGTTGAAAAGGACATTCACTGTCAGCATCAACAGACAATGATGTTGTCAACAGCTGACGTTGTAGCGTTACCTTGCTGACGTTGGCAGCGTTACCTTGCTGACGTTGGCAGCGTTACCTTGCTGACGTTGGCAGCGTTACCTTGCTGACGTTG